TAAAGTTGGGAGCATGAAATTGTCCAAAATGTCTTGGTATGATGATGCCTTAAGAGTTACCTTCACTGGAACAACCCCTGAAAATCACCGCCACACCATAATCCCCCCTCCACCAAACTTTACACTTGGCACAATGCAGTCAGGCAAGTACTGCTCTCCTGGCAACCACAAAACCCAGACACGTCCATCGGATTGCCGGACAGAGAAGCGTGATTTGTCACTCCAAAAACACGTCTCCACTTCTCTAGAGTCCAGTGGTAGCGTGCTTTACACCACTGCATCCGACGCTTTGCATTGCACTTGGTGATGTAAGGCTTGAATGCAGCTGCTCAGTCATGGAAACCCATTCCATGAAGCTCTCTACGCACTGTTGTTGTGCCAATCTGAAGGCCACACAAAGTTTGGAGGACTGTAGCTATTGACTCTGCAGGCAGTTGGCGACTTCTGCGCACTTCAGTATGTGCTGACCCCGCTCTGTCATTACGTGGCCTACCTCTTCGTGGCTGAGTTGTTGTTGTCCTCAGTTGCTTCCACTTTGTTATAATACCTAAAACAGTTGACCATGGAATATTTAGTAGCAAGGAAATGTCACAGATGGACTTTTTGCACAAGTGGCAAGCTATCACGGTACCTCGCTTGAATTCACTAAACTCCTGAGAGCTACCCATTCTTTCACAAATGTTTGTAGAAGCAGTCTACATGTTCCTCGGTGCTTGATTTTATACATATATATATAGAGAGAGAGAGAGCTGTAAGTAAGATATTGGCTTGATCCTTGAGTTGGGCTGTAAGTAACAGTTTTTGGATTCAGAACAAGTGTTGAAAATATTTTTAAGTTCAGACCAGTGCTTTACCCTTATCATCCTTTAGTTCCTATTTCAACCATTGGTACCTCAATCAGTGATGATAAACAGTGTTTGACTGAGATGTGTGCTGAGTTGAATTGGTCCTGTTATTAAGGATCTGTACTTTCCTTTGTAATATATAATAACGTTTATGGACCAAAATATGACCTATATTCAGATGTTAAAACGGAACTAGACCCCACAATTTACCTGTGTCCCAAAACAGTTACTTTTAAGGCACGCCAACTGTCAAGATGGCTCATTCCTTGGCTGTAAAGAATGGGAGGATATAGTTCCGATTTAAAGTACCTTTCTTGCCATGAATTTTATTATGCTAAAAAACTCTCTTCTACCCTGTACATTGGGCTTCAACTTTTATTTTTATTCCTACCTTGTCATTGGACAATGAAGATAAATACAGTGACATCTTCAAGAAATTTTCACTCCCCTGGAGCCATCTGGAGGAGTCCTACAGGTGCCCTATTCCCTAATAGCTTAGTGCACCCCATAGAATTAGAGTCTTGATGTGGGCAGCACTTTGCTGTCAGTCACAACGCCTGTGGGTTGAGGTGGTCGTGCCCTGACTCTGACTGGCATTGCAGAGAAGGGTTAACAACATTGACTATGTGATAACGCTCCTCTGCAACTTGTGAGCATGCAGCCCTGTAGTCCTAGCTGCTACACAGGGTGACAAAGCTGCTGCATTAGCATTGTACAGGAAGTACATTTTACGGGCAGGACACCACCCATGAACTTTATGATTACAAAGAGAGCTGTTAATTGTAAATATGAAATGTTATTTGTGTAAGGGATGCATAAAATTTTCTTTTGCCCATAGTTCTCTTTGCCCATAATCCACTACTTTACAACCACATGGAATGGCATACTTAACTTTAGGGGAGGCATTACTACAGTGCAAGTCAAAAACCCAGGCATTGGTAATGTGGTTGGTTATAGGATCTTAAGGCCTCATGCACACACAACGCAAGAGCAAAATTGTATATATATGCGTGCACTATATGCAATTCCAGAATGCATCATTCGTAATAGAAATTTAAATGAACTGTACGTGCGTATACGCGCGTAAAATACGCAGAAATACGCTGCCCGAGCGCATCTCGGGTCCATTCTGTTTTTGCGCATCTTTACACTACGCAAATATATGGCTCCATATGCAGTAATGTGTATGAAGCCATTTATTTGCATATGATGCATATGGGACAATATGCGTGTACGTGCATATACGCAGCGTATTGTACCGCAGTGTGAATGAGGCCTTATCGAGGAGGATCAACAAATCTGATCTCTAAATGTCCCCTTCAGCATTGACTGTATAGGCAAATGTCTAGGTGTTTGCTTACATGACTGGCACAGCAGAACCCAATACAACATTTTCTCCACAAAATATAACTCTTTCAGCTTTACTATTCCACATTTATATAGTATTATGTTACTGTCTGAGTATGGCTACACGTTACACTGGGTATGCTCAGATACCAGTACAGATACCAGTGCCGATATTTGGCATTTTCATGAGAACTGCAAAGGTCGCAACGGGTGCAGCTGCGACTGGGCCCTGGCACTCCACCACTGTCCTGAAATCATTAGTCTGTATTGTTTTAGAAAAACTGTCACATGACAATAAACAAAAAGGTATCAGTAATTAGTTTCTGTGAGGACAAATATTGGTACTTGTGCTTGGTCTGGAAAAAATGGCATTGGTACATCACTAATATATATACTGTAAATATATAAAACAAATCATGCATTAAAACAAGGATGCATAATCCCCAGAGCCCTGTATGCTCCTTATAAATGACAGTTGCCTCCTAACTTTTGAGTTTTTCTCTAGTCTAGTCTTGGAGCTGGAAAAGTATCTGTACATGTACTTATACCTAGTACGGTACCTGGTATCTGAACATCCCTACTTTACAATATATTCTTGAAACCATATAACTAAAGATGACATGATACAAGCAGCCTTATCACCATGTTACATTTACTTTTTTTTTTAAATGTTGTCTTTGCAAATTAGATATTTATGACCTACTCACATTTGTCTGTTTTTAACCCTTTTGTATATTAACACAGAGAGATCCTCTTTTCCCATACCTTTCAGTTTTTACTGGACCTTGGAAAAATATTTTCCAGATTGCACAGGCTGGCAAAAACTAGCACAGCAGCGTGACCATATAATATATTAAAATGTGCTAATCATCCATGGAATCTATTGTATGGTTATGGTTAAGGGTGTCTATAGTTCTAGGGATTATGGGAGGCAAGACCTCAGTTTAACTACATGTATGGGGCCTAGGTGACGTGGGCTTCCCTAAGGGGCGGAGTCTAAGTACCAGCCGGTGTTCACCAGAGCTCCTGATGGTGGAGATGGGCTAGACTGCTTGCTGGTACCAGGTCGCGATCCCCAGGGTTGCCCTGCCAAGGGATGGACGAGAACAATGAAGAGACAGTAGTCAGATCCAGGCAGAGTTCAAGGCAGGTGGCTAGCAGATTATGGTCGGACAGTAACGATTAATCAGAGGATAAACGCAGGAGACAAGGGCAAAGTCGGGTCAAGGCAGAAGATCAGGTCGGGCAGCAAGCGAAGAAGGGTCAGACGATCCGGGTCAGCAAATACAAAACATCAGAAGTATAAGCTCTTAGACAAACAGGAAGCTGGCAGAGAGCCGGGCAGCAGGCAAGGATCAGTAGAGGCGAAGAGCTGGGCAGCAGGCACCTGATCAGCAGGGGAATGAGCTGGACAGCAGGCACAGGATCAGCAGAGGCGATGAGCCGGGCGACAGGCATCGGATTAGCAGCTGCGATGAACTGGGTGGCAGGCACGGGATCAGCAGAGGTGAGGAGCTGGGTAGCAGACACCGGATCAGTAGAGGCGATGAGCTGGGCTGCAAGCACAGTGTCAATGGGTTGCCATGGAGCAGTGGAGTGAGGGGCAGTGGGGTCCAACTGGAGAACGCACATAGGGTTGACAGAGTCCAGAAGGGCAACAGAAAACCACTGCTGTGGTTGAAAAGGAGTCTCTGGGCATGTGGTATGATGCAGGTCAACTATAGTGGAGGCCACGGGGCAAGAGGTCTTAAGAAATGGGCAAGGACCTCACTTGCTTGAATGGGCCAGCCTGTCCAATAAATTAAGGGAACCTCTTGGAATGGTGTGGAGGGATGTGAACAATGGAGGTCCCTTGAATGAGGGTTCTTGTGCCAGGGCAACAAAGAGAAGAGCCAGGAGACATAGATCAGGGGCCTCAGGGGTAAGGGTCAGGAGTCAGGTTACAGGAACAGGATACAGGGAACAGCATACAGGCTATGGCAACAGTACTCAGGCACGGGCCTCACTACAAGCAGGGGCTAAATACCTCCCCAGACCAGCACCAGGTGGTGACTAATTGCTGGAATTGCATTGTTTCAAGTGGACCTCCTTGTTACTTTCTCACTTGTATTTTGTACCCTGTGCTTAGATAGATTCATAGGGTCTTTAGAGTCTGTGTTCATGGCTTTGGGCTTGTTTCTGAGATCATTCAGAATCAATTGACAGATGCATATGACCTGCAAATCTCCTTCTGACATGCAGTTGACCTGCTTCAAGCAGGTTTTGCAGTCCCATATACTTGTATGGTGATGCAGAAGCAAACAAAAGCCATTGACACAGTCCCTTATCCTTATGTTCTAAATGTGTGCATCTAAGCATTTCCCACATATGCTTTTGTCCTATACATTGGTCCTTTTATGCTTCTGCTTACATTAATTGACGCTGTATTCAACTAACCCCATTGATTAGTAATTACTGTGCTCTTATATGCTGCTTACCTTACATTGCATTTATAACATTGATCTTATGCATTAGCCCTATTTATTTTAATATGCGTACTCTTGTATTAGCATGCATTTTCCAACATTCTTATTTTAATTTTACTTTGTAAGCTGGCTTTTTAGAGTGCACCTATTATATTCTCAGATGTCAGTCCCAGACTCCTGAAATTTACAGCCTGCACTGTGTAGTATCCTCTGAGCATTTGAATCGAGTGCTGTGACAATGTTTAATTAAAATTAAAATTGCACATAGAACAAAGGGAAACAACACAGAGAACCATATACAGATTCCTCTTAACCATTTTCTATTTTTGTTTCTTGTGTACAGGTGGAGGAAGGCTGGTGGGAGGGAATTCTCAATGGAAAGGCCGGAATGTTCCCTTCCAATTTTATTAAGGATATTGGGGCCGAAACAGAAATTGGGGGAAATTTTGAAGATCACCAGATAAAGCAAGGTAACACAATCTTCTTAGATGTGCACTGAAATATTTCACATATTAACATGAAAATACACAGATGAAGTAATTGATTTTCACATTGATAGGCTGAGGGAAGCCCTAAGCAAAGTTATATAAGATTGGTGGGGATATCTGGTTTCTCCAAGCATTTCTTTTAACAGGCATGATAAGTGACCAGAGACACACCAGCAGCGTATTAATTCACTTTATCACGTTATAGAGATTACTTTATTTCAGTAACTCGTTATTATGCATTTAAGACCACAAAGGGTTCTTGACTGTAGTTACTAGTAAGATACTTGGTGGATAAAATGAGTCAATGAAAAACGTACACCACCATTGAAAATAATCCTGGTGCGTTTTGGGGATAAGTGGGTTTTTGTCTTTCCATTGACATGGAGGTGACAACAGGCTGATCTGAGAAAGGCAACAGCCGTATGCCAGCAACACTGTTCATTAGGTGCTATAATATGTGTACCACAGACTCAGAAGTTTCAAAAAAAACACAAGCCAATACCATTAAAAGATATATAAATAGCTGTTTTCAGTATATTGCCTATGGTTCAGAATCTTTGGTATATCACTCCTGTTCTGCCTTTTAAAGATAATTGTCCATAAAAAAAAACAATATGGAGGCTTCCATTGCCGACCTCCTTCTGAACATTTTAGTTGCCTGGCTACAATACTTTCCAAATCACTGAGATGGATCAAGCATGCTGATTAGAAAGTCATAGCGGAGTCAGAGCTCCTGATTTGCATAGTTGTTTCGGGTCAGTGCTTTAGAAAGTATCAATGCCATTGGATCAGCATGCCAGGCAGACAGCTAGCATTTCAAGGAGAGGTTAACAATTTACAGCCTCCTATTCTCTCATGACTCATTACAAGTTATATTATTTTGTAAATGACGTTTTGAATGTCTCTATATCTCCACCTCATGGTCATAGGCAGTATTTTTGCTTGTATTTATTGGTGGTAGCTTTCAATTAGAAAGTGGAAAATCCCTTCATGGCCACCCCAGGGCAACAAGGAATGATGTCTCTGATTAACACATTCAGTGAGCTTATTCCAATGTGGAAAAAAAGAGGTTCAGTGGCCCTTTTTGCTTTTTTTAAACTGTGAAAGCAACTGTTTACCCAGTCAAAGAGATCCCTGTGTGCACCAGGGTGGTAGTCCAATTTACGTCTAGAAGCAGAAACCCCTCCTAATTCCCTTTGTACCAAACATATAGAAGATTGGAGCACACTGTAATTCCGTGGGTGCTATGGACTTTGCACATTACACATTACTTTGTGTCTTATTAACCACTTGCCGTCCGCCCATAGTAAAAAAACGGACGGACGGCACTGCTGCATTGGCGGGTTGCCGTCTCCAGACGGCATTTTTTTTCTGCTCGCGCGTGCCCCCTAGCGGGCACGCACGGGCAGAAAAGACCCGACCATTGCACACACCCGTTACCGGGTGTTTCACATATAGGCGATTAGCGGCTCCATAGCCCGCCGATCGTCTATATGTGCTCGTTCGCGTATGCCCCCCCGCGCAGCCGCCGACGCCTGTTTCCCCCCTGACCCCTCACCTTGAATCCCGGGATCCGCTGCCCCGTCTGCGGCCCGGGATCGGCTCGGAGGGCGTCAGGAGGAGGAGGACGGGAGATCAGCTACTTGCTGATCTCCATCCGGGCTGTGAATGCAGAAGTGATGTGTATTACATCACTTCCGCATTCACCTGTCAGTCATCTGGCTGCTATAGCCAGAGAGAAGAAGCTGATGAAGCAGATCTCTGCTTCATCAGCTTCTTTTGGGGTCCACAGGTGACATTAGGGGTCCTAGAGACCCCTAATGTCTCCATAAAGAGGACCTGTCAGTGTGCCTTTGCTATTATATAGGGGGATTGTTATCCCCCTATATAATAGCAATAACAATAAGTGCAAAAAAATAAATATAAATAAAAAAAATTAAAAGTAACATATACAAAAAGGGGAAAAAAAAACCAAAATGTTTAACTCCCCCACCCCCACGTTTACGCGCCTATAAACGTAAATACGCGTCCGGTGCCCCAGCGCGCAAAAATTACAATTGCGCTACACATGTTACATATCGCCGCGAACGTCGCAGTGAGAGCAATCATTTTAGGGCCATCAATCACTGATAACACTAAACTGATGAGCGGTAACAGCTTTTAAAGCGTCGCCTATGGCCAATTTTGGGTATTATCGTTTTTTGAGGTTTCGCGCGCGCACGCAATTTTAAGGCTTGACATGTTTGGTGTCTTTTTACCCGACGTGACCCCGTCTTTTATATTTTACCAAAAAATTGGGTAATAATAAATGTTTTATTATTTAATATAGGGGAAACTGTTTTTTTTTTTAATTTAGGTAATTTTTTCTTAATATAGTAAAAAAATAAAAAACCCAGTGGTGAATAAATACCACCAAAAGAAAGCTCTATCTGTCCCCAAAAAAGTGTATAAAATTAATTTCAGTACAGCGCTGCATGACGGAATAAATGTCAGTCAAAGTACCGCAGCGCTGAATACTGAAAAATGGCCTGGATGGGAAGGGGGTTTAACACCCCGGTTGTCAACTGGTTAAATAGGTCTGAAAGGGAATTCATACCAGAGGCAAAGAGCGAGCACTAAGCCATGAACTTACAGTCTTAATCAATTTTGTGTAAGATATAACATTTTTTTTAAATATGTTTTTTCCATTTAACATGTATTTAACATTTTCTAAAAAGGTTTCAATAGTCTTAGGAAAATTAAGCTTCCCCTTAAAAGTGTCTAAGCCATTTTGTCTTAGTTTACAATTGAATGCACTGGAACATTGCGTTTGTCTGTTAAACAGTGCTCTGTCTTCCTGTCTGCTGAAGAGCCCTGACCTTATTTAAAACATGCCTTACATTTTTATTAAAGGGATTGAGTCCCACGTGTTTTAGTTCCCTAGCTGTGTTAACCCTGGAGCTTTTACTAGGAAGCGCTTAACTCTGCTCTTATTATGAGCTAAAAGCCATTATTTTCCCAAGGCCGCTCTTCAACATCAGTGCATGACCTGACTGGCAGTGTGTCTTACAGCACAGCCTGCCACCAGTCTATCACGAGCAGACCAATAAGCAGTATCTAGTAATTGTTTTCCTGTGTTTCCGACAACATCTCAGAGAGAGGACCTCTCTACTTACCAATCTGACACTTTTAGCACATTTGTATTTTCTGTATGGGGCATTTCACTTCCAATGTACTATTTTACTGTTCAAAGCAATACTCAGCATTCTTGAAACATACTTTGTTATTGTAGGGCAGGATTATAAAATCCAGTGCATTAGCTTTCAGTGGCAGGGCCTTTTGCAGTTTTTGCAGTGGGGTAGTTTTCCCCACAGAATTCTAAGTGAAGATTGTAAGGCCCTACCTGAAGGCTCTCTAACACTAAACAGCCATGTAACCCCAACCCTCACACTAACACTCCTTGTAACCCCAATCCTCACAGAAATCCTTCTTGTAACCCCAATGCTCACACTAGTCATCCTTATAACCCCAACCCTTATACCCCAACCCTTCCTAATGTAAACTTAACCCATTGTTTGTATACAGGCAGTCCCCGAGTTACATACATCCGACTTACATCCGATTCCTACTTACAAACGGAGGCTATTACTGTACAGCAGGGGTAGTTGTAATGCTACTACGCTCGTGCTGACGAGGAGTGCCCGCCTTTTTGGGTCTGGTTCATAGTACGTTACAGGAAGTTGGCTCTTGTTAGATGTGCACGCTAGGAGTGCCCGCCTCTTCTTCTGGGTTACTGTGAGGTTTTTACTGCTGTCTGTATCCTCATTAGGAAGATTTAATCTTACTTCCTGTCCTTGAAACAACAGGAAGTAAAACGAAATCTACCTCCAAGGAAGGCAAATTCACTCCTGTAAGAGTGATTATGGGAAAAAGGTGTCTCCACCGAAGCTTTATCACCAATCCTTGTTTTGACGAAAACCCAAAATTTTCAAAATCCAATTGTCACAGGGACAGAAAGTGTGGTGAAATCTTCTGAACAGGGGCACACGCAGCAAAACAAACATTACAGGGGGTTAACCTTTCCCTATGCTATCCAAAACAATGTTTTTTTTGGCTGGAGTTACACTTAAAAAATTTACCTGTTCTAACTGACATACAAATTCAACTTAACAGTCCCTATGTCACGATCTGGAGCAGCAGGCAATCTGTAGTATAACAGGCCGTGTTCGTTACACAAGCAGCGGGTAGTAGTGGAGGAGAAGGCAGAAGCGTAGTCAGCTATATACAAAGGAGATCAGGCAGGGAGCTATCCAAGGTTCTTAGGTGGCTCAGCAGGTAGAACCACCGCCAGCCACAGCAGAGGCTCTGGATTCATACCAGGTTCCTGACACCCTATCTTGTTCGTAAGCCGGGGACTGCCTGTACTCACTTCTTCTGTGCATGGGATCCACAAAGGACCAACCCTTCTTGCACTGAAACATACCAGAACTGGGATTCTGGTGCTGGGATCTACAGTTTTGGTAGACTCATCTTGTTAAAAAGTATTTATTGTCAATTTTGTTACATATGATCAACAAAAAGTATGTCAAACACAGTAACTACTCCAACAACACGTTTAAGCTAAAGCTGAATTTTTGCTAAGCTACATGGCTGCTGAATGGAAAACAGGAGTGGAAAACTGCTGCCTAGGAAACACGTAAATTCCCCACACCCAGACAAAATAAAAGCCAATCTGCTAAAAGTTAAACGGCTCTACTATGAACATGGAAACAAACAGGAGACAAACATACCACACTAAATGGTACAAAGCTTTTTAGTCCCAAGATATAGTGAAATGCTTTCATGATTACTACCACGCCTTTTACAACATCCCGAGGGGGAACCCACCTGACATAGGAAACTGGATATCAGTACATATATCTACACACATCTGGCATACCAACTCTAACTCTGTAAATTAGAGGCCTGATGGGATTCCCCATTCAGCAGAGAATGGGGACCCG